TTACGTTGCCTTTAGGGGCTTTGGAAAAAAAAAAATTCCAAAAGCTCCTAAATTCACATTTATGAGCAGCAGTGTGCATGTGGACTTAAGCCGGCCATACATGAATCAAACTTCAGCTGGTTCAGCAGGGAATGGATGAATTTCAGTACATCTATGAAAAAGCTGGTTGCACACAAGTTTATTCTATGGATCGACTTTTGTACAACCAGCCTGACGGGTTTTTCCAGAACAATCAGTCCTGCCGGCTATAGCCTGCGACACTGATCATTGTATTTTGCCAGTGGGGAAGGCTCACTATCCACAAAATACAATAGCTCATTGGGAGTGACACTAGGTTCACAGCTATGTAGATTGCGCAACTTCACAGTACATTTTGAGTTTTCGAACAAGCATTCTTGATTCATTTTACGCTCTTTTTTTTCCTCCAATAGGAAGGTATTGACTTTGTGTGGGTGCAACTTAGGTGCAACTTTTTTTGCTAATAGGAAAGTATAACAATTCTGTTCATGTAGTGCAACTTTGATGAGACTTTACACTGGCACTCAAGTAGAAGCAAAGTCACACCCATTAAAAGTCACATTGCAGTCAATACTTTCCAATTTGAAAAAAAAAAAAAATGCAAAAAACACATAAAAAAACGCAACAGTTGCGTTTTTGCTGCGGGTCCATTGAAGTCTATTACATGCAAAACACAATCTGCTGCAGGAATAAATAAGTCCCTGACCTTTTCCAAAAAATGCACAGATGTGTACCAGGTCTATAGGAAATAATGTTAAATGGACTGTAGTGCAATTCTGCAAACTGGAAAACGCCCTGAAATCCACATAAGTGTGACCCTAGGGTGATTCCCCCATCCATATTGAATGTGGGTGGAGGAAATTGGTTCTTTTTTTTTGTTCTACCCGCTAGTTGAAAAAAAAAAGAGAAAATATTATATATACTATGTTGCCAAAAGTATTGGGCCTCCTGCCTTTACAGGCACATACACTTTAATGGCATCCCAGTCTTAGTCCGTAGGGTTCAATATTGAGTTGGCCCCGCCCTTTGCAGATATAACAGCTTCACCTCTTCTGGAAGGCCATCCACAAGGTTTAGGAGGGTGTCTATGGGAAGGTTTGACCATTCTTCCAGAAGCACATTTGTGAGGTCAGGCACTGATGTCGGGGGAGGAGGCCTGGCTTGCAGTATCCACTCAAATTCATCCCAAAGGTGTTCTATGGGGTGGAGGTCAGGACTCTGTGCAGTCCAGTCAAGTTCCTCCACCCCAAACTGGCTCCTCCATGTCTTTATGGATCTTGCTTTGTACACTGGTGCGCAGTCATGTTGGAACAGGAAGGGGCCATCCCCAAACTGTTACCACAAAGTTGGGAGCATGAAATTGTCCAAAATGTCACCTTAAGAGTTCCCTTCACTGGAATTAGGGGGCCAAGCCTACCCCTGAAAAACAACCCCACACCATAATCCCCCCTCCAACAAACTTTACACTTAGCACAATGCAGTCAGGCAAGTACCGTTCTCCTGGCAACCGCCAAACCCAGCCACATCCATTGGACTGCCAGACAGAGAAGTGTGATTGGTCACTCCAGAGAACACGTCTCCACTGCTCTAGAGTCCAGTGGCGGCGTGCTTTACACCACTGCATCCAACACTTTGCATTGCACTTGGTGATGTAAGGCTTGGATGCAGTTGCTTGGTCATGGAAACCCATTCCATGAAGTTCTCTATGCACTGTTGTTGTGCTAATCTGAAGGCCACACCAAGTTCGGAGGTCTTTAGCTATTCTGCAGAGAGTTGGTGACTTCCGCGCACTGTGCGCTTCAGCATGCACTGACCCCGCTCTGTCATTTTACATGGCCTACCACTTGGTGGCTGAGTTGCCGTTGTTCCCAGTTGCTTCCACTTTGTTATAATACCACTAACAGCTGACCGTGGAATATTTAGTAGCCAGGAAATTGCACAGGTGGCAACTTATCGCAGTACCACGCTTTTAACTTCACTGAGCTTCCGGAGTTCAAATGGAAGGTGGAGGAGCACAAGGTCTCTAACATCCACCAGCTCCATGATGTCATCATGGAGGAGTGGAAGAGGACTTCAGTGGCAACCTGTGAAGCTCTGGTGAACTCCATGCCCAAGAGGGTTAAAGCAGTGCTGGAAAATAATGGTGGCCACACAAAATATTGACACTTTAGGCCCAATTTGGACATTTTCACTTAGGGGTGGACTCACTTTTGTTGCCAGTTTAGACATTAATGGCTGTGTGTTGAGTTATTTTGAGGGGACAGCAAATTTACATTTTATACAAGCTGTACACTCACTACGTCACATTGTAGCAGGGCCTGCCTTAATAATTTGGAAAAAAAAATTCCATCCTGCGCCTTTCAAATTTTCTTGTCACTATGATGAAAAATAATCATCGATCTGACCCCTCTAACCACTAGAAAGTAGAACAAACATTCCAAAAATGGAGATTTACAACTGAAATTCTAGTGGTGTATGGTCAACGTGTAAGTGCTCCCCCCTCCTTCCCTTTGGTACACCTTTGTTCTTTAATCAGGCTTGTTGGAAGCTCCAGGCTATGGCCTGCAAGTAAGTCCAGATCTGCTTGGAGCTGTGAAAATCCTTTAAATGGGGATCATTATTGTGAGATAAAACAAAAGCCACAAAAGACCTCTGACAACTAAACACATTGTGACCAGGCTTATCACCTCTCCTGGGATAGATACCCTGCACTGCCAATATGCACACCAGGACCCATTATGGCAGACCATGCTAGGATAAAATCCCAAGTCCATCCAAAGATTTAAAGGGCAACTCCACTTAAAAAAAAAAAAATTTCAAATAAGAAAATTAAAATAGCATATGCAATTGCAACACAAGTTCCAAATGACCTTTCCTTTTTAATCTGCAGCTCTGTAATTTTACAGGGTAGATAAAAAAAAAATAAAAATAAAAAAATAAGAAAATCAATGATTAAAATAATTAGGATTTTTTTTATTTAAATCGGATTTTTTTAAATTTTTATCAAATTTATTTTAATAAAATACTTTTGGAGTAAAAATCTATCTAAAGATAGTTTTCTATTTAATCATTTAGTTTATTCAGCATGAAATGGAGCTTAGTTATGTACCATGAGGCTGTATATTCTGCAATATTTATATTTTCGGTAAACTCATTCAATGAATCCGAGCTCTGCAAGCTGAGATAACATGCACTGCATTGATACATTCACACAATTTCACAGTAATCATGAGAAAAAAACATGAAATAAAAGAATCTGAGTCGTTCTCCAGCTATGTGTGATTAACCTATTAACCTAAAATCGGTTCTGATATCGCCGTTTTACTAACCTGACAGCTTATAATTCTAAAAAGGAAACCTTCATTTTGTTTGCAAATATTAACCACCTCATGTCCGGCCTTTGTATATAAACGGGCGGACGGTGGCAGTGCAGGGTCGGGTGGCCATTTATAAACAGCCTCCCCGCACCCTGCTTGTGAGGGCTCCCTGGGAGCGCACAGCAACACGATCCAGTGCCCGCTGTGTCCTCTGGAGACAGTGAAGACCAATCGTCGGACGGGACCTCTGTACGAGGTCCTGATCATGTGATCAATGATTGGCCAATCAGTGATCACATGCAGAGTAGTAAGCAAGATGTCACTTCTGACATCATTGCTTACTACATGTGAAATCTGTGAATGATCACAGAGGTCACATGGTACAAGGCTATTCACAACAGCCTTGTACCATGTGACAAGCTGTGACCAATCACAGCTCACTCAGTAGTTCTCAATGGCTGCAAGAATGCAGCTAGAGAGAAGGAGAAATGATTGCTTTTACAGCCTTTATGGGTGTAAAAGCAATCAGTGTAAAAAAAAAAAAAAAAAAAATCTGGCGACACTGTGCTGCTAGGGTGACAGTATGTAAAAAACAAAAATAAAAAATAAAAAAAAAATTTTAAAAAAAAGTTTAAAAATTATAATTTTTGGTTATAAACTAATTTGGGTTTTTTTTTTTTTTTTTTACTAAAAATAGAACGGAATAAATCTTGGCCAAGATTTATGATGAAATACTATTTATTTGCAAAATTTTATAAGAAAAACACTTTTTTTCAAAATTTTTGGACATTTAATTTACATAGCAAAAAAAATAAAAATCCCAGTGGTGAATAAATACCACCAAAATAAAGCTTTGTCTCAAAAAAATGCTAAAAAATTCATATGGGTACAGTGTTGCATGACCGCGCAATTGTCATTCAAAGTGTGATAGCGCTGAAAGCTGAAAATTGGCCTGGACTGGAAGGGGGTGAAAGTGTCCGGACTTGAAGTGGTTAAAGATTCTAACTACCAGCAAGAATGAGTCGGATTCCTTACATTTAAAGAGCACCTGTCATTGTAGATCCATCATGGCAGCGCCTGTTAGTGGATATCCACTCATCTGCTGCCGCCACGTCCCTCCCCTTGTTGTGTCACTGCCGCATCACCAGCCGTCTCATTAAAGTGAATGGGACTGTCGGTGAGTCAACAGCAGGTCAGAGGAGGAGCTGATGCAGGACAGAGATGACAGGTGCCATTTAAAAATTATGATTTTAAAATCGAGCCTTTTCACTAGTGATTTAAATCAAATCCACCGTTATTTTCAGAAAAATTCAATGCAATATGGCATCCTGAAGACGTTCTGAACACAGTTGCAGCTCCCCCCCCAGAAACATTTCCTTCTTGTGTGACTGGCTCACTTATTTTCCAAGAAGTCTGCACCAAGATACAAAGCAGATTTCAGGCATCCCCTGCAACAAAAATGTCATTTTTTGTAAGATACTCCTAATAGGAAATCTTATCTAAAAGGGATGCAGACCCTGCCACTTTCCTCAGAGCCCTGCAGATGCAGCAGCTGACTGATAATGATGAAATCACTCCCATAAGATTCACCTTCCACATGGTCACAGACAAACAGCTCTTTCTTCAGAATAACAAAAGGCAGGAACAGGGGCGGACTGACAACTCATGGGGCCCCCGAGCAATAGGGGATCATGGGGCCCCTGTGTCCTTGCCCAAACTCAAAAAAGCCTATGAAAAAGGTACCAGGGGCATCTCATGGGGCCCCCTACTGACCCCGAGCCCTCAGGCAGTGCCCGAGTTTTCAAATGGTCAGTCCGCCCCTGGGTAGGAATCTGCCAGAAAGTTTGTTGAAATCCCTGCAGTGTATGTTGATCACCCAGAGGGCAAGGTTTTTTTTTCTCAGCAGTAGCGGAGTTACTCTTTAAGCTGGCCAGAGATGGATCAAAATTTGGATGGTTCTGATAGAAATCGATTTAATGATCGATTTCTCTAAAATGGGACTGTTAGAAAGCTTTCATTCGATCAACACCTGCACTGCTGTCAGGTTTTTTTTTTTTGGACGATCAGTGCTGCTGGCTACAGCTGGCAACACTGATTGATGGAAGGGATGGTTCCCTGCTATCAGAATACAATACCACAGAGGTCTTAAGAAACCCAAATTACAATTCTTACAGTTGTCACCAGAACAGGAAGCGAAGGGACATCTGTAGAAGAGAGATTAACTGTTACAGCCTATCGAGCCAGCCATACCTAGATTGAATCTCAGGCAGTTCAGCAAGGACCGGCTGACATTCAATCCGTCTATGGGCAGGCTGGTTGTACTGAAGTCCATTCAACGATCGACTTTGGTGCAACTAGCCTGTTGGATTTTTTTTACATATGATTACTGTCGGCGGCTATAGCGGCTAGCAGTAATCATTGTGTTCTGCCGGCAGTGAGGCTCCCCACTGGCAGCATGTAATAGTGCTGCGGGAGGCATTCTCCCATCAACACTGAATGAGTTGATGGGGGAAATTGGTTGCAGGACAGAAAATCAAATCATCTATGGCTCTCTAAGGGAGATCACCTCAGTGGTATACAGACAGCTATATAATCATTTTATTATTACAGGTACAAATATAGTGCCGTGCTTCATATATATATTGTACACTCACATCAGTCCCTGCCCCCAAGGAGCTTACAATCTAAGGTCCCTAACTCATATTTATACATACACATACTAGGGACAATTTAGATGGGAACCAAGTAACCTACCAGCTTGTCTTTAGGGTACAGAAATAATAAAAAGATAATATGCGAGCACTATCCGGGGATCTCAAAGGACAGCGGCTAGAACACCAAAAAGGTAACCAAGAGAGAACCTTCCAATAAAGTACATATAAATATATATAAAAAAACATATATAAGGTGCAGCGCTATAATAGTAAAAATGGCATATAAAACATATTATAAATAAAGTGCAAATGTCAAGTCACACTGCGGTGAGGTTAAGTGAGATGAAAAGTCCCAAAATAAGGTCAGGGGATCCAATAGATCCTAGTAGGTGCGTGGGATGAGATTCTGTGTATCACACGGTGAATCTGGGGTAAAAATTGCGCACTCACCAGAAGTGCATCAAAAAAACGCATGTAAGATTTATCCTGTAGTATCTGATAGCGGTCATCAATTGCCAAGATAGGGACAGGGTCATACACCTTCCAATCGCAACTTGGGTAAATACTTCAAATTTCATAAGCGTGTCTCAGGCGTGTCACCATCCGGGGTCCCCTTTTAGAGCAGAATCTGCAAGTGGGGACTCTCATTGAAGAGAGCCCAATAAGGGACACCACATAGCGTGATACCGTATACACTGAGTTTATTAAAGGTACAACATGAATTGTAGAGGTAAAATGCAAATAAAACACTGACCAGATAATAATCAGGATGGCCACCTGCGGTGGTCAGAACGTCAGATACTGCAGCCCCCTCTGACGCGTTTCGTGCGGTGCACATTATCAAGGGGTCCTGGGATTACATGCAGGGATGTCAAAGAGCTGTTTATATATCAAAATTCATGTGGAAAAGGTGCCAGAGGAAACCGGAGTACCCGGAGCAAATCCACACAGGCACAGGGAAAACATGGGTGCTGTGGTTGGGATTTGAACTGACAACCCTAGTGCTGCTATTTGAGGTTTTAACCATTTCCTACTCTACTCAAGTGATGTGCTGTAATTCTAAACAGGAGCACACATACAGTCTAGTGAGACTCCATGGGTCCTGGTGGGCTCAAGGGGCACCCACTTTCTGGGTTTCAGCCAGCATGACTGGGGCAGAATTTGTGAAGCAAGAAGAGAGAAGAAATGTTTAATGTAATTATTAAAAAAAAAAAAAAAAAAAAGATTTCCATCTGACGGTTATGATTAAGCAGCGAAGAAACATTACTTCTTTGCAACCAACGCAGCACCTGGCACATTATACAGAGCACCCCAAAAATCCCCTCTCAGGGATGCACAGATCTTGCGTGAACTCTACACACCCCAAAAATCCCATCTCAGGGATGCACAGACTTGCGTGAACTCTACACACCCCAAAAATCCCATCTCAGGGATGCACAGATCTTGCATGAACTCTACACACCCCAAAAATCCCATCTCAGGGATGCACAGATCTTGCGTGAACTCTACACACCCCAAAAATCCCATCTCAGGGATGCACAGATCTTGCGTGAACTCTACACACCCCAAAAATCCCATCTCAGGGATGCACAGATCTTGCGTGAACGCTACTACACACCCCAAAAATCCCATCTCAGGGATGCACAGATCTTGCATGAACTCTACACACCCCAAAAATCCCATCTCAGGGATGCACAGATCTTGCGTGAACGCTACACACCCCAAAAATCCCATCTCAAGGATGCACAGACCTTGCATGAACTCTACACACCCCAAAAATCCCATCTCAGGGATGCACAGACCTTGCATGAACTCTACACACCCCAAAAATCCCATCCCAGGGATGCACAGACCTTGCATGAACTCTACACACCCCAAAAATCCCATCTCAGGGATGCACAGACCTTGCGTGAACGCTACACACCCCAAAAATCCCATCTCAGGGATGCACAGATCTTGCGTGAACGCTACACACCCCAAAAATCCCATCTCAAGGATGCACAGACCTTGCGTGAACTCTACACACCCCAAAAATCCCATCTCAGGGATGCACAGACCTTGCATGAACTCTACACACCCCAAAAAGGATGCTCAGGCTCTCCTGATATTCTACACCTAAAAGAAGAACTCCGGGATAGAAAAATAAATCACCCATTAGTACACCCCCCTACACAAAACACTAAACAGCGATTAAAGTTTTGAAAAGCCTTCCCATTTAGGAGAAAAGTCTAATTGAATTTTCATGATCTCATCTCTGTCATTCAAAAGATAAGAGCATCTGCTCTACCAGGAAGGAGGTGTAACAGCTGAGATTACATCATATCCTCTCCTCTCTCTCTCTGCAGTAAAAGGAAACTATAGTTCCCATCAACCACAGGGAATTGTAGTGAATGTGGGCGGGTACACTAGACCTGTACATTTTGAATGTGTCAAGAGTTTTGGTCTGCCCACCACTGCATCACTGCATTCAGCCGAATGACATCACTGCTTCCTGGAGAAAGAAATACAGAAGAGAAGTGCCAAGAGCAGTGGATGGGGGAATAGGAGGCATAGCAGCCACTGGTTTTACAAACAGGAGACTAGGGATGCACTTTTTTTTTTTTTTTTTTTTTTTTTTTTTTCAGCACAAGTACCAAAACTTTGCGGTGTGATTTGTGTCCATTCAAAATGTATGGACGTTAATTGCACCAAGAATAGCATGCGATTTGAACAGAAATGCGATTCCTGTCCAAATCACATGCAGTTTCCCCACTGCTTCTCTGTGAACCCAGGCTGCACACAGGAGCAGTGCAGGGAGGTTTCCCGCAGCGAAGAGAGGGCAAGTGGGGATGTATATTATGGAGGCAGATGCTCCATATTCTCAGTGGTAGGAGAGGAGAGAAAGCGGTAGGGAATTTGAAATCCAAATTAGCTTTTGCCCAGAGTTCTGCTTTAAGCCAAGGACCAGAATGGACCCCATGTATATAGTATGCAGGGGCGGACTGACCATTTGGAACTCGGGCACTGCTCGAGGGCCCGGGGTCAGTAGGGGGCCCCATGAGATGCCCCTGGTAACTTTTTCCTAGGCTTTGAGTGTGGGCAAGGACACAGGGGCCCCATGATCCCCTATTGTCCCAGGGGGCCCATGAGTTGTCAGTCTACCCGATAGTATGTATATATCAGTATGGATGGGAAGAGGCAATCTCCCCCAGTACAGTGCCCCCCCCTCCAGGTGGGAAATGACAACAGCTGTGCACCCCCCCATCTGGTTCTCAGTATGCCAGGGAGGAGTCCACATGGGTTGCAGGGCTCTCCTGCTTGTTATAGTAATAGGAGTGTAAACAATGTATCGTTATTGTATAAAAACAAACTTCAGTTTATAAACATTTGAGGAGAAAATAAATTCAGAAAAGCAGGAAATGCTAACAAATCCATCCACATCAGAGGCCATAGGGGAAATAAGTGATCTCTATAATGACCGGGAGGGGGGTCTCTATAAGGGGAAATAACTGGGGGACAGAGCACCCGCAGCTACCCCAGGGCCCCTATAACTAGTCTAGTGGGGAAGAGGTGGGGGGCACTGCACTGCTACTGTGACTACGCTAGTTGGGGATTGGTGGGGGGCTTCACTACTCCTGAAGCAGGGTGAGGACTGAGTGTGATGGAGAAGTGGAGATTGCACTGCCCCATTCATACCCAGTGGGCGGGGAAGGTTGCACTACTCCTACAACCACTTCAGTGGGATAGGGGAACCTTACAACTAACCCAGTAGGGAGGGATTTTACTGCCCCACAACTACCCCAATCAATTAAGGGGGAATCCTATAGCTACCCCAGTGGAAGCAAACATTGCACTGCCCCATTAAAAACCCAGTGGGTGGGGGAGGGGGAAATTGCACTACTGCTACAACTGCGTGAGTGGAAGTGGAGATTGCACTGCCCCATAACTAACCCATTGGTTGGGGGAGGGATTGCACTACTGCTAAAACTACCCCAGTGGGATAAGGGGGATGTTACAACTACCCCAGTGGAAGTGGAGACTACCCATAACTAACCCATTGGTGGGGGTGGGATTGCACTACTGCTAAACTACCCCAGTTGGATAAAGGGAATGTTGCAACTACCCCAGTAACTAACCCGGGGTGGGAGGTAGAGCAGGCAGGTTACATTACTCCTATTACACCTGCCTCATTGGCGTGTGGGGGGGTTT